AGGCATGGTGGGTCATGCCTTTGATCCCCTTACTGGCTTACATAGTAAACTCTAGTGTAGCCAGGGCAAATGCAGGAACAACAATGGAACAACAATGATCCTATATATAGAATTTCTTGTGTTTGTCCTCAAAAAATGTAATTGAGAAAAGCATTAGTAAGCTGTGTGATATTCTATACCACATCATCTACTAACTAAAAATTTTTGTTTTATCAGGGGGTGATATGTCTAAGAATGTGAGTCAGTCACAGATGGCAAAATTGAATCAACAAATGGCCAAAATGATGGATCCCCGAGTTCTTCATCACATGGGTAAATATAAAATCCTTGGCCAACTGTAACACAGTTACATTTATAAAGCTGTAGTTGAATGGTAAACCTTTTGTAGTGATTATGACAATCTGTGGTGTATATGAAAGCCTGTGTGTGGAAGGAAGAGGACCCTCTGAATCCTGGCTGGTTGAATCTTACATAATACCTCATCAGGAGACTGTGACAAATAGATGAGCAAATGTGTGTGGAAGCATTTAGTGTAGTTCTGGCCGTATAGTAAGTGCTTAACAAATGGTAAATTCTTTTTTTCTGTAAGTCCTTTGAAACATAGCTCCTATCCCGAATTGACCAGTTTTTATAAAACTAATTCTCGTTACTAAAAGACTTAGTCTTGACATAGAAAATGCTCTCTTTCGACTTCTTGATTGTGGACAGATCTATTCCAAGATCTTTTTGTGTTTTACCTTATTCCCCTTGGTAACTTCATGAAGCACATTTTCCATTTTCTTTTTTAGATGAAAATAAAGCAATAACACATTTTGATTGGCTGCTGACGAAATTGCTGTCAAAGCACTGCTTTTTAGAGGTTAAAGTACTTGTTAGGTGAAAGCAATAACCACTTCGAGGCCGCGTGGTCATGACCTGTTTTCCTCTGGTCTCTCTCTAGGGGGCATGGCAGGACTTCAGTCCATGATGAGACAGTTTCAACAGGGTGCTGCCGGCAACATGAAAGGCATGATGGGATTCAATAACATGTGAAGAAGACGCCTTCCTATAGACTGACGTGGATGGTTATCTTACCTCCTTAGGCCTCAGTGTCTCCCCCTTTGCAAGTGGGGAGACATTTCTTGCCTGTCCCCTCTCATTCTCTAGTCCTGCCTGTTTCCTTTTGTCTGCCTTCTCTTCTGACAGGAGGGAGGAGTGGCTGGTGTTTCAGAAGTCATCCTATTTCTGCTTCAGATCTTCTGTAGTTTGACCGTCATAACACTTCCTAAGTTAAACAAATCATGATGTAAAATTTTAGTACTTAAAGATTTTTAATCGTCTCAAAAGCCAAGCGTCACATTTATAAACAGTCCCGATCAGTAAATTACATGATATTGAAGGAAAGTGCTGCAAAATAAACTTCAAGTGATAAGTTAAAGGGTCGTTAACTTTCTTTATGGTTTAACATGCTCAGTTAGTAGACAAAAAGCCAGCAGGGACATTTAAAGGGAGATATGGGAGAATCATTTATTCATGACTATTAGGAAATATTTACTTTAGGATAAAATAACTTTATTACAAAAAAATCCCCTCCGCTTTGCTATTTAAATTGAAATCAAGAATTTGGTTACAGTTCATAACATATGTATCCAATTTTTTACATGTTTTTTCGAGTCCTGTGGTCTTTGACTGTTTTTAAAGCCATTTTTATGTTTCTTATATACTATTGAAAAATTATATGTTTTGATAATAGATAATACATAAATTTTCTAATGGGCAAGTAATATTAAATTATTAGGCTACGGTTTTGTATATTAAAAAAAAAATAAGGCCATGACAGAGTTGGTTGGATTGTTGCTAACTATGGCTGCATGTGTCTGTGTGGGTGCTCTTGTGGTGTAGCCCATGTGTGGAGCTGAGAGGGCAACCTTTTTTTTT